AGGAAGCTGAGGTAGGTTCACTGTGTCTGCCTCAGAGCAGGAAGCTGAGGTAGGTTCACTGTGTCTGCCTCAGAGGAGGAGCCTGAGGTAGGTTCACTGTGTCTGCCTCAGAGGAGGAAGCTGAGGTAGGTTCACTGTGTCTGCCTCACAGAGGAGGAAGCTGAGGCTTAGAGGATAAAGAACTTGCCTGAAATCGTACAGCAGCACCAGGATTCAAATCTGGGTCTGACTCCCAAAGTCTTTTGCCAATTTTACTCATGCTATTTTTGACATTGTTTCTTCTAAACACTGACGTTCTATTACTCCAGACGATCTACTAGAGATGACCAGAATGCAAACTCCAGTCACCCTGAAAGCAACCGGGGAGGGGATGGAGGCAGCTATCTCCAGGCCTGAAGATGCTGCTTAACTGTGGGTTGAAAGAGCCCGGAGGCTGGCTGAAAAGTAATGATGGAGTTGACAATGGTCCTGACGGGAGAGCCAGGACTGAAGCCAGCCTGCCCCATGGGGTGCACAGGTGTCACCAGTGAGAACCAATGCCCCTAGGCTTTCTCCCTTGGCCATGCAGACTGAGCTCAGTGGGTTGACGGCACATTACCTCGTGCCTTTCTAGCTACAGCTTTTGAGTTATTCTGGAATCACAACTGCTGTCTGGAAACGACATTAAAGGATATTTGAGCTCCTTGCACACCTATCAAATTCTGACCCAAAGTACCATCTAAAGGGTCCACAAAAGGAAGAAAACAGGAAGAAGAAAAAAGAAAAGCAGAAGCAGCACAAGACTTTCCAGAGTGCAAGCCACCACACATGTGGCTGCCGCTTGCTGCGGGAGTCCCGGGTTAAATTCTGCAGGAGGGCACGCTGCAGCCCCCAAGAGCACACACCAACCCAGCATCATTGCTTATCCAATACGTGTCTGCTACGGCGACCTCTCCCACAGAGCATGCCGTTACCTAAGTGGGTAACTCTAGGACCACATACCCGACTGTCTCCGAGGTTGGCAATATAAAGAGTGTTGTCTACAGCCAGAACACACGTGGCAGTGGACCCATCTTTCCAGGCAGGCTTCCTGCGGGGAGAAACACCAGAAACATGGTCACCACCAGCAAGCCAGCACTCGAGGCTCATTTCCAGAGTTGAATGGGAAGTGTGTTAGACTTTAAAAGGGGCCATAATAACGCCCTTTTGTTTTAGATTCAGTTAATAGTTATGAGAGCTTACTCGGTGCAGGGCACTTTTAGGACAGGGAGCATTAGTATTAAACCATATCAGAAGACCTGGAATGTAGTTAGAGAAACAATACACACACCACTGGTCCACCTGCATTTGCTCATACTCACTGGCTAGAAGCTTGTTTAAGGAACTCCTCATCGGTGTGCTTAAAAGTGTCTAGGAGGCATCTCTTCACGGTTTTCTCGACACTAACTACATCTCCTGCTCAAAAAGAACCAAGAGAATAAACGCTCAGTAAGCGAAGGCGACCCTCCTCCTGCTGGCATTTTGTGTTTGTATTCCGATCTGCCCACCGCTGGTTTCTGAGCATGACTAACACAGTCTGCGCTTCCTCCCTAAAAGACAACGCCGTTTGTCTTACTAGTTTCACCGGCCTAAAGGCAAGACGCTCACCATACCCACACAGTTCACGAGAGGTGCCAGCCACTCAGGCGTGAGCAGCACCAGCCCACACCTGCAGCGCAGCTGCCACGGGAACCTGGAGTCCCCTCTTAAGAATCATTAGACTCTTTGCTAAATCCGAAAGGACGTCCGTCACTGATCCCCAGTGGTCACCCGAACCACAAACGGCTGAACGCATACTGACTGACTTCGTTCTCAGTCTCACCTTTCGGAAACTTTCTGATTAAGTTCTGATGCAAATTCTGTGCGGCGAATTTCGAGGCTCGAATTCCTCCATGTCCATCAAAAACAGCAAAGTATGAAACGCGAGCACTGGAAGAATGAAGAGAGTCCGTGAGATCCCAGGACAGCTCCTCCCTGTCGTCTCAAACACGAAACTTTAGCAAGACAGAATGAAAACCATGCTGTCGTGAATGGAACAAAAGGTGGTAACACCGAGTAAGCCAAGCATTTAAGTAACTTTCACAGCATTTTAAAATTCAATGTTAAAAACTCACACTTGTTTCAAAAATTCACGATCTGTTAACTGATTTTTCACTGAAGATAAACTAGAATTCAGAACCTTTTTCCTATTTGAATCAGGTTTCCCTTTAAACACAAATGCACAGATAAACAAGTCCTGATCCAGGGCAGGTGTGTGTGTAAGAGTGGGGGAAGTGCCAGAATTTGTACTCAAATAAACTTTGTCCAATATCTAACTTTTAAAGCCTATCTTATCCCTCTTATTCCTAGTCCCCTTTCAAGTTCTGCCCCCCAAAAAAAAAAACAAAAAACACAACACCGCTCACATATGAGGTTGTTAGCTGCCACTAAGCTGATTTCAGCTCGTGGTGACCCCATGTGTACAGAACAGAACTGCTCCATAGGGGTTTCAAGGCTGTGACCTTTCAGAAGCCAATCGCCAGGCCTGTCTTCTGAGGTGCCTCCACGTGAGTTCCAACCACCAACCTCTTGTCTAGCAGTCGAGCACTTAACCATTTGTGCCACCCAGGGACTCCCATGTATGAGGTAAATGGCATTAAATAATTAACTATTTCAAGAATACAACAAAAATGCCTGTGAGAAATAACGTTTATTATACAGAGCTGCCCTTTTTTCAAACATTTCTGGAATTCCTTCTCATGGGAAAATAAACCTCATCTAGTTTATTGCTCACAGTCCCTGGGTGGTGCAAATGGCCTGTGCTCTAACTGAAAGGTTGGTGGTTTGAACCCACCCAGCGGCTCTGTGGAAGAAAAGGCCTGGCGATCTACTCCTGTAAAGATCACAGCCCAAAAAACCCTGTAAAGCAGCTCTACTCTAACACATGGGGCCGCTATGAGCTGGGATCGACTCAACGGCACAGAACAACGATGACAAAGTTGATAGCTCAGAACCATCGTCTGACAGCCTGGGATGTGCCAGGTCGGGTTCAGTGCTGGGCAGCTTCCCAGTGAAATCATCCCCACAGGATCTGCCCTTCAGGGCTCTCCTCAAGTCCTTTCCTGGCTGGAACAGTGATGGTGGGGCAAACCCCTGATCCCAGCAAGCAATGGTCCTCACAGCAGGGAGTGTACACAATCCCCCCCAAACCCCCGGCACGTGATCAGCTGCTCTGAAGGGGCCTGCTCCTCTCCTGCCTGGCCTCCCCTACTGGCCACGAGCCGCTGGCACCAATGGCCCCGGCACACCGTCTGGAAAGGCCAGCGGTGAGCACCAAGCATCCACCCTCTGGCTGCTGTTCCTCCATGCCTAAAAGTCACCCAAGAGGCTTTGTTCTGGTTTGTACAGTTGTAGGAATATCTCACTGTTTGCTTCTCTTGATGCCATTTCAGCTTTTTTGTTCTTTCTGGGCCTCGATTACCTGCACTAGCTCCCCGTTAACCATTCACTAATCAGTGGCTTCCAGCTCTAGCCTCTGGGTCACAAAATACTGTGCCTGCCAGAAGCTCTTCAGTTCCTGGTGAAGAGCAGCACGTTCTCCACACTGTGGAGTCATTTCCCACCTGGCAGGGGTTCTCTATTTCAGCACTATGGACATTTGGGGCTGGGTCATCATTCTCTGTTGCGGGGGAGAATGGGGGGAGAAGTTTCTCTACATCAGTGCTATGGACATTCGGGGCCGGGTCAGTCTTGTGTGTGTGTGTGTTGGAGGGGGGGTTTCCTCAACATCAGCACAATGGACATTCAGGGCCAGGTCACTCTGTCACGTGTGTGTGGAGGGGAGAGGCTGTCCTGTGTTACAGGATGTTTAGCAGCATCCCTGGCCTCTATTCACCTGATGCCAGCAGCAACCCCCCATGCCTGCATTGTGACAAAAATGTCCCACTCCCCTAAAACCAAACCAAACCCACAGCCGTCAGTCAATCCGACTCACAGCGGCCCTACAGGACAGAGCAGAACTGCCCCATAGGGTTTCCAAGGCTGTAATCCTTACGGCTGCAGACTGCCACATCCCTCCCCCGCAGCACTGACAAATGTCCTAGGGGGCCAGAACCACCCAAGCTGAGAACAGTGATGCAGAAGTAAGTCATGTGTCAGTCTTCCTAATAAACACAGCTGGAGGCGGACCCGAGCTGCAGTCAGAACAGGATTGACTGCAGACCAGGTGTGCTGGGACGTGGCTACTCACATGAGGGACGATGGGGGCCGGCACTTCTCAGTGATGTCGTTCAGGATGACATGGGCATCCTGCATCTCCTCCCGCTCGCCCTTCCGCTCAGCAACGTAGCCTTTCAGGCCAAAGATCACGGAAGAGGCTAAGGGAAAGAACAACAAAGCCAATACAAAACTGTGCCCTTCCTTCCGGAAGCCCTAGCCCCAGAGCCAGTGAGGAAGCTGTGGCTGCTTTACTCAACAATGCCCCCCAAGGCGCCCCCCTCCCCCAGCCGTAACTAACATCAGAGCTCTGCTGGACAGGGTGGATGGACTCTGGGGGCTGAGCAGTGGAGTGGAGACATTAGCGATAGTGTTAGTACAGAACCGTCCGTGCTGAGAAAACACCAAGTCAAAGCACCAGAGCCAGAACGTGCTGCCTCCCACACAAGCGGGACTCCAATCGGGGGAAGAAACTATGTGCAAATCCAGTCTTGTCGATAATTCAACTAGGACAGAAAAACTCCCAGTTTACAAAAATGCAAGTCAGTAGTTTGTCCCAAACACCTTCATCTGAAAAAAAAAAAACAAGCCCACTGCGTCGGAGTCGATTCCGACTCATAGCGACCCTATAGGACAGAGCAGAATTGTCCCGTGGGGCTTCCAAGGAGCAGCTGGTGGAGTCAAACTGCTAACCTTTGGTTAGCAGCTGAGCTCTCCACCACTGTGCCACCAGGCCTCCAAATGCCCTGATATTGTTGTTGCTATGTGCCGTCGAGTTGATTCCGACTCACATCGACCCTATAGGACAGAGCAGAACTGCCCTATAGGGTTTCTAAGGAACAGCTGGTGGATTTGAATTGCCAACCTTTTGGTTAGCAGCCAAGCTTTTGACCACTGTGCCACCAGGGCTCCAACGCCCTAATAGACACCTTAAAATATGTATTTTCTTCCTTGAGGCTGGTGAAGAATTTGAGCAGTAAGTTGCTTTTACTTTAGCTGATGAAGAAAAGGACTCAGAAGTCCACCGTGGGCACAAAAATCTACTTCTATTTAACTGCTAGGCAAGTTTAAGCTTGTTTTCTGGTACCTGGAGCCATGGAAATACAATGAGCACTTTAGGAGGCGCTTCCTGCTCTAACCACAATGCTCTGTGGGCCAGCGGCAGGGTGATGCGGAGCAGCAGGGCTGAGGGACACCCCCCCCCACGTGACACATGCTGCCCTTCTGTTGGAGGCGACTCCTGGCCAAGGACAGAGTTGTCAGGTGCAGTAAGCGAAAGCCCACAGTATTTCCCTTTAGCTGACACTTTCGATTCTCCTCCCCACTCACTCTGACAAGTTACTAAGATTGACTACAAACTTCAACTGCGTTTTCTAGCCTTAGGCTCTCTCGGGAAGCTGCCTACAGAGTGCAATCTGAACCCAGACGGCTAAACAGGAAATGAACAAAGCTAAGAGCCAGCTGGGTGGTCGATAAACTAACCGTTCAGTCACCGCAGAACGCTAAACAACTAACGTACTCTTACTCTGGAGGAAGAACCGGAGTTTCCTGTCCGACCAAAGGCAGTGTCAGGGAAATACACGGGAAGAAAAAGGAAAGAATGCCCAGGTTTAAGTGTAGACACCCTACCTACTTATCACATACAGACATACAAAGGAAGTGTTACGATTAGAAAGCGGAGCTTCTTTTTGCTCTGGGTAGTTTTAGAATATGCAGTCTAATACATTTGTTTTCAAACTGTCTGAAAACCTTTACAAACTTTCTTTTCCACAAGCTCTTGACCGCCATTCTTCTCTTCTTCAGAGGATTTTCTCTTGGCTCCTTTCCCTTCATTCTTTACCACCAGGGCTATCGGAGCGGCAAGGGAACCTGGAAATAAAGAGGAAAGCCAGGCAGAAACACAGCTGTAGACTGTCGGAAAGACTGACTACCAGACTAGACTCCACCCCAGCCCGAGACAGAAGGATGTCTCCAGCCAGGACTGGCACACGGGCGGGCGCTGCGGTCATGCCAGCCGGGAAGGAGGGCAGCGCCCGTGCGTGCAGCTGGTAGGAGACCACAGTTAAGATGCCGCCTGAGAGAAAGGCTTCTGAGTGGTAAACACGCACGCACAGAACTCTGGCCTGTAGCCTTGTGTTTTAAGTCCACAGGCCCTTCTTGATTAATAGGGAGGTTTCTAGAATCTGCAAATAAACTGATGCGTCCTGGGCAAGTTCACAAAAGTAACAAGTGCCCAAAAAGGCTTAAACCAAGGTAAATGTCAGGCTTTAAGAACTGTATGTGTCCTGAAGGGCAAAGCAGGGCTGCTGCCCCCATTTCCGATTGCTGAAGGATGAATCTGTACTCAAAGGCAGAGCCAAGGGCCCGGCAGCGGTTACGAGGTGTGCATTTCAGAAGGAGCAAACTCCAGGTCCACAGCACAGTTCTGCGGCTCACAGGAAGACCCGTGACTTCACAGCAAGTTACTTAACCCTCCCGCCTCAGTTTCTTCATCTGTAACATGGGCGAGTACTGTCATCTCGGGGTGGTTTGAGATCAACTGCGACAAGGTATGTCAGGCATCTGTCACAGTGCCTGACACATCAAAGTGCCCAACAAGGGGCAGCTGCTGTCACAGGAATGGCCCTAAGTGGTTCTCAGCATTTAGGCATAAAGCACGCAACTGTTTAGTCAACCTACTCTGCCAGACATCAGAGTGCCAAGGAAACAGAAGAAAACTTCCTGGCCCTCAGAGCCAATTATGACAGATGGGCAGATTCTGCAACTGTGTGGTGTAACACACACACTCCATCCCACACAACAAAGCAAATTAACCGAGAAAGGTTCCCGGGTGTTCCCAACACGGTCTTTCCCAGTGGCCTATCTGGTAGCTTCTCACTGTTTGTATCGTTTCCCTGATGTGTATGTAAAAGTATCTTCCTGTCTTTCAAATTCCAAAAACAGAGAAATTCCTAAAACTTTGCTGTTGACTTCTAATCTAATCACAATGTAGTCAGAGAATGTGGTCTCTACGTGAAACTCATTCTTTACTGGGACTTACTTTATGGCCTAGTGTGTAGTCAACTTTTGTAAACGGTTTTTGCGAGCGTGAGAAGAATGTGAATTCTCAAGCAATCCAAAACATCAATATAAGACTCTGTAAACAGACGTGTCTAACATCCACAATATGTTCTGTGAAATAGAACGTTATGTGATTCGGACATTGTGTGAACACCATACGTGTTACAGGCAGTCCACAGTCACCAATCTACAACTTTGTACAACCCATAGTTATGAACTAACCCCCATAAAGCCTATTAAGAATCTGAGGTACATACAATTGTTTGTAATAACAAATAGGCGCTACTTCGCGATGCACATCAAAACATTATTATTTCTGTATTATTATGCTAACCCTTTCAAGACCCAATTATTTTCTCCTTCGAATTTTTTGTTCATACTATGTATTTTCACTAATGGAAGGCATGTTGATTAAAGCACCAATTCAGAATTCGTGTTATAAGTTATGGGTTTTGATGCCCATTATGTGGGATCACGTATGTCCCAGCAGACCCTGGACAGAGTAAATACTGGTGATATGCATCAAGGATAAAATCATTTTTTAATTTTTTCTCTTGAAAATTTGCAAACCATGAGATATAGCACGAAGGCACCTGGTAATGACTGCATATACATTTTATTCTAGACTCCTTCTTCTCAGCCTTTTATTTTTCATGAAACTTTTCAAAATACAGTACAATCCATTCTTCCTCACAGCAAAAGCAGTACTTACAGACCAAATAAATAAGCAAGGGATTTTTTTATCTCAGGAAAATTACCACTACAATGCATTCTTCATTACTGCAAAAGCCGTACTTACAGGCCAAGTGAAACTAAAACAAATTGACAATCTCAGGAAAATCACCACTCCTGTGTATTCCTCATTATAACAAAAGCAGTACTAACAGCTAAGAAGCACAAACAGCTGCCCTGAATACTGCAGAACTGCCCACAGCTGTGCAGGCCACCTGCTACACAGGGAAGCAATGACTGGGCCCGAAGATTGAATGTGGGGGAAGAATAACTTAAAGGAGTCCAAGTCTCTTGAAGAGTACCACTGCAATGCATTATTCCTTATTGCAAAGGCACTGTTTACTGTTCAGAAGCTAGAAAACGAGGGAGCTGGTAACACCTGGATGCAATGAACGGCGTCAAGGAGAAAACGGCCATGTGATGAATGAAGGCTAAGGACAGTTTATCCGTTAAGTACATTCTCACAAGAACTGGGAAACAGTGAGGAGGCTTTTCTCACAGAAGTAAAGGCAAACCTGTCAAAAGTTTATAAAATTCAAACATCCAGGTGGCATCACCTAAAACAATGCTCAGTCTACATAAAAACAAGGCTCCAACTCAGGCTTTCACTCATTTCAAAAGGCTCCCACCCTGAAGCTAGACACATTAAAATCAGCCAACTCCTTCCCAAAGAACTCCAGAGGCATAAACCGTGGTTGGAATACCGTATGTCCCATAAGTCACAAAAGGGTTTTAAAGATGTTTTAGTGTATCTGCCAAGTGTTTATGTTTTTTATGCATAAAAATGTACATTACATACTATGTATTAAGACAAACATTTGTCTGACGTTAGAACTCGTTTGTAATCTGGGGACTCCCTGAATATACATACTGTACCATTATATGCCTCACAGCTCAATCGCTCTGTATACAAGTGACATGAGATACCCGTGTAGTGTGCAGGAAGCTGTTCCATTTGCTACGTCCAGTTATATCGGCTATGTCCCCGTTCTCCGACTGGAATTTCTGAACATGGGTGTGTTGCCCAAACAGACATTACGTGGTGCGTATGTATATAATCAAAAAACTAGACTCATTAACAGTGGTGTTGAGATGTTCCAAATCTTTACACTGCTTGTCTTTCACCCTACTGATAAACTAGGAGGCGGCTATGTTAAATTTCCTTTCTTTTATTACATCTGTTAAGAACCTTGTTTGCACATATTAACTTTCATGATACTAGATATCTTTATTGGGAAGGTTTCAGGCTAAACTGTGACTATGAGAACACTGCTAATTTTTTTCGGTATGTGTCTATAGCCCTGGAAAAAAACTCTAGAATTCTTACATAAGATGATTGTAATAATTTTTCTAAAACATAGGAACTATACTATTTAATCTGTACTTTCTACCCCAGTTCCAACGATTTTATGGTAATGAGCTAATAACACAAAAAATCCACTTGAAAAGTATCAAGTGCTTTATTTGACAACACAGGGAAGGTCTCACCACCGGAGGATGAGAGCATGAGACAGGACAGCCTGTGTCCACAGCGCCCCGCCCTGAAGGAACTCCATCTAAGAGGAAACTCTCAGGGAGATGGAGCAACAATGTATTGTCATTATGACAACACAGAGGGTCTGCTCTAGTCGTCCCTTCTACTTAACTGGGACATTAAAATAAAACTTTACATTTACAGGAGCAGGTAGAGCCAGTGCCAACAGGCTTGGCATAAAATGAAATCAAAGTAATAATCTGAATCTTCGGGATGTGTAAGAATGGACTGGAAAACAGTTAACTAAGGTCTTAAATTTCAAGAAAATCTTTCTACATGGTCTGTACCAGGGTCTCCAAACTAGGGTCATTCAGACTTCACTTAAGATCAAAATTCTTTTTAATGTACGTGGTATAAAACAAAAGGCCCATTTATCTGTATGGATTCAGGGATATGAAAAATATTTTGTTAACTGTATTTCACACATTCAGAACACCCGTAGACACATTTGGGTCTGTCAAGACCACAGCAAGGAGAATTAGAACAACAGACCCAGAAACGTAAAAAAGAAAAAGCTAACAACGAAGTTCAAAGTAAATGACTGTAATTGTTTATTAAAGTCAGCTCCGGCAGGCTGAACACCCAGATGGGAAAGAAAAATAATCATTGAAAAGTGATACACTACTGAAGATCTCCCCTCTGCTTCCACCTGATGGTGCCTATTTAGTTTTAAATAAAACTCACACTGTGTCATGATTTAACATCATCCTAAATTTCTGAAACCTGTAAGAGTACAGTACTATGTACACTGAAGCCTGTGAAAGCTGGAACTTGTGTAAGGTAGAAACCTGTCAGAGAAGAGAAAGGCAAATACTTTCCACTAACAGACAGCGATAGAAAACGGGTAAGACTGTACCCTGTCAGAGGCAGAAAACTTGCAAGACCTGGAAAAACGAAACAGTCCCATTGAGTTCCGGCTCTCTCAGGCTTCACCGCATTATTTATAATAGACCCTGGAGTTCTTTTTTTTCCTACCACTTACCTGAATCACCACTGCCAGCAGGTGGGAGATCATCAAAAAGCAAAGGTCCCCCTGGCCCTGAAACACAGCAGAACACACAGTGAGCCCACAAAAGCTGTACCTGGCTTCAGCATCAGAATCCATCCCACCAGGACACCTACGTAAGGTCAGGGAGAGCAACAGAAACCTGTGTCAGTCCAGTGGAGCTCAGACCGCAGTACACAGGATCCTGAACCTATTTACTGTAAAGTCCTATCGTCTCAGAGGAAACAAATCTGCCTTCCAACATTCACTTCATTTCAGCTAATGAACACTCCAAGGAACCAGAGAAAACTGCTCGCCGTTCTGACGCAGTGCTTCTCAGGGCCAGCAACTAGTGATTTTCTGCCTTACCTGATGCCTTACCTGATCCAAAACTTAAGACAGTCCAACACCTAAAACATCTGCGTGTTGAAAATGGGGGAAAGGGAAAAAGATTGAGACCACTACAATCCCAGGATGAGCAGAGACGTTGACACACACCTGGGAGAGGCTGAAGACTGTACCTGAGTCAGTACTGCCGGCCGGAGGGAGGTCGTCGAAGAGCAGAGGTCCCTTCTGAGCGTCTTTCCCTGAAACATGGAAACTCCATTTAGAGAATGCAGGGCCACAATCTGGGGCGGACTTTCAAAAGTGGGGTGCTCTCCCTTGCTTTGAAAGAAGCTCACTACTCAAAATTTCCCCTCCCTAGTGGACATAATTTCATTTTAAAAAATACTGTTCTTCACAGCTATTTAACACAGAAAGTTATCAGACCAAAACCAAACCCACTGCTGTTGATTCTGACTCACAGCGACCCTAGAGGACAAAGTAGAACTGCCCCATAGAGTTTCCCAGGAGCAGCTGGTGGATTTGAACCACTGACCTTTTGGTTAGCAGCCGAGCTCTTAACCGCTGCGCCACCAGGGCCCCACGAACAGTTACAGTCCACATAAAAGCAATGAATAGTGCCCCATCAGGTATTTTAGGGGTCATGAGGTATTTTGAGGAAAACACATATCTTTCTAGATAATTTTATGATTAAAAGCAACAGACATCTTAAAATATCTCATTACAAGAGAATCCTGGAAGAAAAACCTTGATTCTAGAGCAAGGAAACAATTTTGTTCAAGACAGAATTTCAGAATCAGGGGACCCTTCTCTTCAAAGATCTACAGGTTTTAAAAAATGCTATTTCAATAACATTCTGAATTAACAAGCAACTAGAATCTCAAACACCGAGTATGCAGGTGGTGAGAGCCTTGAGGAAGAAAATCTGTGTTAACCTGGTCCCTGTCATACCAGCACAGTGCCTGATGCAATAAACATCTGTGGAAGACAGCCTCGGGACAAAGTCAGGGAGTCTCTTTACCTAAAAAGCTGAAGAGTTATACTCTAAAATTTCAACATCACTCCTCATTCTCTAGCTTTCCCCCCAAATTCTATCCAAACTATTAACCATATGAAATGAACTGGCACACAAGGATCTGGGGTAAACTGGGGTTGATGACAAAGTCTGTGCACTCCTCCTCAGCTTCGACACGCTGGCTAAACACACAGGCTACGTCCACCTCTTGGTCTTCAAAACTCAAGTATTGAAATGTACCCACTTACAAACCAGTTTAGTTAAAGAAACAAATCTCTATGCCCCAAGAGGTTCATCCATATTGTCTTCTTGCCTGCATGCAGAAATGAGCTGGGTATCAATTCTACCCTTTGAAAAACAAAAAATTTATAAACTCCAAGGAAGGAAATTCCTTCAAGGGTCTTTAGGTCAGAAGTACCTAAAATACCTAAGAAACCCCTGATGTAACAAAATGTATCTCTTTTGCTTTATAAATGAAAAATATATGCTCCATTAAACCATATTCTCATCCCTCAGGAGTATGCTAAACAGATTAAGCAACTGCAAATACTTTCATTTTTCTCCAAATGACAAAAAGACTATGGGGTCTAAGGCAAAAAACAGTATTAGAAGGAAACATGGAAAACCTAGCAGGGCGCTTCCAAGAGGAGCCCAAACTATGCTGGGTCAAACACTGAAAATGTCCCTTCAAAGAAGTCAACAGATACAGTACAGAAGAATTATACTGCGTTCACGGACATTACGGGGAAGAGGCGCCCAGACAGCCATCAGCCCTTCCCTCTGTGTCAGAGTTCAATTTCTGAATCAGAACACCCATCTAAACCAGGTCTGCTCCACTGCCACTGTTCTGCTGTTGTCTCCACTATCCAGGTTGGACACTGTCCATTCTTCAAGCGTTCCCCACAATAGTTTCCAGCTTGGCACTAACCAGGCGCCTCTCCTTTGAAGGGACTTCAGTTTGGACACAACTCTTAGTCAAAGACAGTGCCCCAAACTGAGAACCATCCCAGAAAATGTGCTGAATAGAATAAGTCTATCACTGCCTTCTTTCCCATTCTGGAATCCTATGCATGGTACTTCGGGATCATTTTATGCTTTTGTTGGCCACAACTGAGAATGGTTTATGAAAACGAGATAGCTTATACAATGACGCCACCTGTCAGACACTGTTCTGAGTTCTCTACATATTTTAGCTCATTTAGCACAATAATCTTCTGAGGTAGGTACTGTGATTACTCTTATTTACTGAATTAGAAAATGGAAACTGAGATGAAATATGTGGTCAAGACCACAGAGCCAGTGAGGCATGGAGGGCAGTCAAACCTGGGATGGCCGGTTCCAAGTGTCTGCTCTTGGCAAGACGCTGCACCCTCCACACAATCACTCCATTCTGAGCCTTTACATAGGTCATCTCACTTAACGCAACAACAAGCCTTAAAGGTAATCCCCAGGCTCTATAACATCTCTGGAATACCCTTCACATCACCAGAAGGATGAAACTTAGAATAGTTTACATTTGGATTCTTAACACACACACATGCACACAAACCGTAGGTCATTGATGCTAGAGAAAGGAACTTCTCATTAACCAGAATCTTACATTCTATTTTGTACAAATATCACTGGACAAAGTGTGACCCTGACCCAAACTTTGGAAGAGGCCCCAGAGTTCTAAACATAAGAACCCTAATAAAGAGTGAAACAAGACTGAAGTCGTTTTTTCTTTAGTTAATCTCATCTAGAATTTTTTTCCAGGAATTATAAATGCATCTTGATTGCATGTTTGACCAGTTTCAAACTGTAGCAGTTGGTAAAACTCTTCAATTTCTTCATCTTTGGCCTTAATGATTGGTGCATAAATCTGAATAATAGTCTTATTAACTGGTCTTCCTTGTAGGCATATGAATATTATCCTATCACTGACAGCTCAGTACTTCAGGATAGATCTTGAAATGTTCTCTGACGATGAATGCAATGTCACTTCTCTTCAATTTGTCATCCCCAGCAGAGTAGAAACGTTATGATTATCTGATTCAAAATGGCCAATACCAGTCCCTTTCAGCTCACTCATGCCTAGGTTATCAATCTCCACACATTCCATTTCATTTTTTACTTCCAATTTTCCTAGATTCATATTTCATACATTCCACGTTTCGATTATGAATGCATGTTTGCAGCTGTTTCTTCTTGAGTCATGCCACATCAGCAAATGAAAGTCCCAAAAGCTTCACTCCATCCACATCATTAAGGTCAACTCTACTTTGAGGAGACAGCTCTTCTCCAATTGTATTTTGAACGTCTTCCAACCTGAGGGGCTCATGATCTGGCACTGTATCAGACAACGTTCCACTGCTATTCATAAGGTTTTCACTGGCCAGTTTTATTTTTTTTTTTTAAGAAGTAGACCACCAGGTCCTTCTTCCTAGTCTGTCTCAGTCTGGAAGCTCCACTGAAACCTGTCCACCACGGGTGATCCTGCTGGTATCTGAAATACTGGTGGCACAGCTTCCAGCATCACAGCAACATGCAAGCCACCACAGTACGACAAACTGTCAGACAAGTGGTGCCCACGGAAGCAGCAACCAAGAAATCAAACGACGTACTACACTGGGCAAATGTGCTGCAAAAAACCTCTTTAAAGGGTTAAAAAGCAAGATGTCACTCTGAGGACTAAGGTGTGCCTGACCCAAGCCATGGTGTTTTCAATCACCTCATATGCATGCGAAAGCTGGACAATGAATAAGGAAGAGGAAGAATTGACGCCTTTAATTATGGTGTTGGCAAAGAATATTGAATATGCCATGGACTGCCAGAACAAACGTGTCTTGGAAGAAGTACAACCAGAACGCTTCTTAGAAGCAAGCATGGTGAGACTTCGTCTCATGTACTTTGGACGTGCTATCAGGAAGCACCAATCCCTGGAGAAGGACATCATGCTTGGTAAAGTGGAGGGTCACTGAAGAAGGAAGACCCTCCCCAAGATAGACTGACACAGTGGCTGCGACAATGGGCTCAAGCATAACAATGAATGTGAGGATGGCGCAGGACCAGGCAGTGTTTCATCCTGTTGGACACAGGGTCATTATGAGTCGGAACTGACTTGACAGTACCTAACAACAGGATTTTTTTTCTCCAGTTACTCACATTCTGAAGTCTAGTGGAAATTATATACGATAATGATGTACTTATGAAACACTCTCGAGTTGATCATAATCAGGTTAAATGTCATCATGTACGATAGAGCAACAAAAAGACCTTACATTATTACTTTGCCTAAATTGATCTTTATACCTGAATTTTCTTCTCAACTACAAAAGCAATACAGATGTTTTCTAAACACCAAAGAAGTATTTTTTAAAAAGTACCCCCCCACCGCAATCACAGTAACAGTTTGGTGTATTCTTTCCCACTTTTCATCTATGCTCATGTAAGAATACATGCGCATTTAAATTTCTCAAAGCTACAATTCTACTCTAACAAACGGTGTCCCATTAACCCACAGGGCAGGCACCAAGCCAGCACACTGGGACCTATTTCGTTCTTTCCATAGGATTCCATCTGGTGACCACCTACACGCATCTATCCAATTCCCTTACTGTTGAACATTCAAGCTGTTTTCGGTTTTTCACACAACAAATAATGCCACAGTATACACCCCCACAAGAAGCACTGGTGGCGCAGTGGCTAAGCACTCAGCGGCTAACAGAAAGGTCAGCAGTTGGAACCCACCAGTGGCTCTGCAGGAGAAAAGACCTGGTGGTTTGCTCCTGTAAAGATGACAACCACAGGAAATCCTACAGGACGGTTCTGCTCTGTCTTACAGGGTCATCATGAGTTGAAATTGACTACACAGCAATGAGTTCACACATCCTTACACATATATCGTGACTTAATCTGCGAGACTGCCAGGCAAAGGGTGTAAGCAGTTTAAATTTGACAGATGCCAAAACGAGTCCCCCCCGCAAAATGATAGTAACTCCCACTCACAAGACTTTTATGAAGATAACCACTTCTCCACATCCTCACCAACATGTTACCAATTTTT